AAAGTTGGGCGGGTAATATCGGCCCAAGTGTGATTAAATTCATGGCGCGAGGCGAGGCATTTGTAGCTTAGTGGTTAGAGCAGTGGCTTCCGGCAAAGGCCTTCTCTGATGCGCGGGCTCAAATCCCGCCAAACACCTCGAGTTTTTTCACAATTGGGTCAAATCTGCCAAACCTAATAATTTAGGCTCTGTTTAAAAAAAACATGCCCAGATAAAAGTAACGTAGAATTAATTAACGCTCCAAGTAACAGCGGAAACCAATAGAAATTACCTTCTAAACTAAACGGAATACACAGTGGCCAGCCATCTATGCATATCAAAGATAGGCTTGTTTTCACATGAAAGCCCGACGCTCTTGATGCATCTTTCCAGGGACAAGAATATGCGCCTGTTACTAAGGGGTCTCAGCAGACTCGGATAAGTTGTTTGAAAAACATGGACGCTTTTGAAGCAGTGAGTTTTTGGATATTATTGCTTATGATGATGACCAATGGCTCATATTTGTAGACTTATCCAAACAACCAAACATACTGCCGAGTAAAATGCACGTCCACAACAAAATTCGGACAGTGATGTCCGTCCATCTTCAGAAGATGAACTCCTGTAAGAGTTCGAAAGCTCAAGACAATAAATCGATTGATCCGGTACTCGACACGTCTTCTTCCTTATACACATTTAGCATTCCTAAATATATACCAGAAAACACATGGGGAAAACGAGGATTCTACTGATGAGCGTAACTTTCGCGTCACTTAGTGGGAGACAAATCGACGAGACAGGCCTGGGAGCTTTTGTCTAGCACTTACGCTATGATGATGCTGAAATATTTTAAAAGCGTCTTATAAAGCCTTCAGAAAAGACGTTTGCGGGCACACACGTGCTTTCAATTAATTCGTATCGAGGTCAAACGGAAACAAGAGGTCGATTATATTCGTCAGTTCATAGAAGGGAGCCATGGGAATGGGCTGCGGTTCCATAAGAAATGACTGACTGCGCGGCGATGAGGATTTAGTGGAGTCGGCCCAGTGGGAAAGCGAAGAAAAGCAGGAAGTTAAGCGACCGTTGGCACAAAGCTTGGTGGAAGATTATTTGTACGCACAAGACCGGCTTTCTCAACCAGACAGTGGTTGTTTCTTCTGTTGCTAACCGATTCTGAACCACGGACTCGGGGCAATTTGGTGAGAC